AAGTAAAACAAATGAACGCTAAAGAAAAGTGCTTCTTTTTGATCATCGCTTCTGTTCGCAAAATGGCACTTTTTGATTCATTCGAATAAAAACAACGATTAAACTAGATGGAGACTTACTGATCGGTGTCCTCGTTTACAATTAGTTGTTGGCCCCATATCGACAACATGGGATCTACAATTCCCTTATTACTGGGTGTCTGGAAACTGGTGAGAGGTGAACAAGCCAGATTAGCAATTGGTGATCATCGTTGGCAGAGGCAAAACTCTCTCAATATAGTGCTCATACTTATTGTTTTATTGAATGGTTTAAGTTCCTTCGTATTCACAGCGTGTTGTTTTTATCGGCCCGTTACTTCAAGTGTTTTCGTGTTAGAATTACTCAAATCCTCTCAACGAGTCATGTTAGTAAAACAAGTGAGTGACAAAATCAGTTCGAAATGGGCATGCAAAAGATGTGCTCTAGTTCGAAAAAGTTGTGCGCTCACAATTGAAAAGTGCCATTCAAATCGGAAAGTTGTCCACTTATCAGTCTCGGATTTAATTGAGCAGCCAAGGAAGAGCCTACCTGAGTTCCGATAGGGGCAGAAAGTCGATATCCAGCAGCGGCCGAAGGCTGGGAAGACTGTAGGCCATCAAGTGTCCATTCGAGACGTATGTTACCAGGCACACACTATCTGCAAACGAATTGAGGTGATGATGGAATAATTCTACGTGTGGCGCGCCTCGCTTGCCTTTGAGTGAAATCACTTCAGCTTTGACCACAAAGTCGCTGTCCGCAAGCTGCTGCCTGTAGGCGCAGCTTTGGGAAGGAAGCGCCACCACTCTGGCCTGCTTTTCGCTGGCGATCACCACAAATTGCCGATCGCTGTAGTTGTCGCTTCTGCTGAAGTTTTCCCCCAGCGTGGGACTCATCCTGTTTTGGTTCCTAGTTGGGGTTCCTGCAGAGGGAAAAACACCGTAGCCCACCTACAGCCAGTTCCCAACGGGACTCACTGTCTCGTTCTCGTTTTTCCCGATTATCGTCCTTCCAGGCCTCATAGGAGTAGGGAATCAACGAGCCGCTACAGTCCAGAAAAGACATCGTCAAAATCGAGCCCTTTAAGCGGAAAATTGTCATCCCAACCATCGACACCACCACTGGTTGCGACGAGCGGCTGTCTGGATCAGGAGGCGTGATCAGGATGGGCAGCACTGATCCCAGACTGGTGCCCACCCACAGGGTGGGAGTCAGCACTGTAGGCTCTGATCGCAATACATTTGTTAGCTATCAGACTATGAAGGCTTTCACGGCCGGTCAAATTACATTTAGGAATGTTTTCCGGGCTTTGAAGCCGTGGCTATCGGAATTTCTTCCGGACGTTTCGTCCACAACTGCGGTGGACATTATCAAAGGCGATGAGGCAGTGGGCGAAGTGATCTCCCGTGCTTTCCGACTAAGAC